TACTTAAGGAGTAGGGAATTTGAGAATCTATATGTCATTATTATTGATTAATACGCTAGCATACTAAATAATCAGATTGCAAAATTTATGGACCTTTGGGAAATTCATCAACAGGTGGTAGGCTTGAGCTTAATATAGCTATACTGGACGGTTCATTATCTTCTTCATCCGCGTCTAAAGCTATACTGGGCGGTTCATCATCATCCTCGTCCACGCTTACCTTCCTAGAATGCTATTTATAATAGAATACAATTAACTAGGATGAATAGTTTTTTATCATACAATTTAATGGCTGACCTGAAGAAGTGTGTCCCAGGAAGGGGACGCTGCCAAAAAACTCTGTATATTTTTTTGTCCGGACATCCTCCCTGAAGAATATAAACGTGTTTTTTTTTTTGTTTTCTTGAATACTTAACAATAAATTTAATGAAAATTTGTGTCTATTATTAAAAACATACCAGCATTTATCATTCGTTTGTGATCAACAACGAGTTGATAAGCAACTTTTATCTGATTATTTTCAATTTCCTGTAACGCCTTATATATGGTGTCTTTACTAAATCCCATTTTCTGAAAATATAAAATGACAATAATTTCAAAGTAAATCTTGAAGTTTTTTTTTTTTTTTAAATATATGAACATACTTCAGTCAGACCTTTCTAAATGCACCCTCTATAAGCGCATACCCTCTCTAAATGCACGCTCAGATTCTGGCCCAAATACATACTTGACCTCTATAAATGCACTTTTTCTTATGATTCTCTAAATGCACATTGTTAAAGTGTGGTCCTAAGGAGTGCACTTAGAGAGGTTTGACTGTTTTAAGACAAACCTTGTGAATTTCCGAAACAATATTATCATCAATTTCACCAAAAGATACTTCATCGTTGTCTGGAAGGGGTTTTAAATAATCAGGTAAACCAACATTAAACCACGATGTTTGTCTAAATATGTAAGATGGGTTAGGTAAGAACTATTACACGATTTTGGTTAAATTTTTTTAAACATCATACCTTATTTCCTGGATGGTGATTCTTTTTAAAGGATCCACAACCAACATAGATTTTAACAAATCTTTGGTATCTGGTGATAAAAATGGCGGAAGTGTATATATTCCACCTATAAAATAGCCATAACAATGAATTTATACCATAATTGATATAAGCCAATTATTACTTAAATTGCATGGTTTACCTACCATTTATTTTTTTGAATAATGTTGGTATGTATTCATCATCAAAAGGCAGACGTCCACAAAGCATGACAAATAGAATAACTCCACAACTCCATACGTCTACTTCAGGACCAGCATATAACCTTCACGAAACGATTTGATTTGTTAAGACTTTAAATAAAAGCTAATTTTGAATTAATATATAGTGATCCTGGCCGATCATTATTTTATTGGCTTAGTCGATTAACCAATTTTAATTCAGAATCTTTCAGAAATTACTAAAAAACTTAGTTTATTCATTCTTCATATCGGAAATTTTTAGGAACGCTATAATCCTGGTTTTGATAATAAAAAATTTGTCAACCGATTTTTTTTTTTTTTTTTTAAAAAAAAAAAAAACGACCGATTAAGCCGATAATTTGCTTTAGCCGATTTTTTCATTATCGGCCAGGATCATTGGTAATTTATAATAGTGATAATTACCTCCCAGATATAACTTCAGGAGCAGCATAATTTGGACTTCCACAACTGGTTTTCAGAAATTCACCATCGGTCATGATATTCGACAACCCGAAATCCGCAATTTTAACATTATGATACGGATCCAGAAGAAGGCTGTTTCATTATCCCGATTGAGCATTATTAAGATAATTAAATTTAAAAAGCGAAAGTAATCCGAATTTACTTTTCTGGCTTTAGATCTCTGTGGACGATCTTATGACGATGGCAATACTCTACAGCACAAATGATCTGTTGGAAAAATCGTCGAGCATCATCTTCGCACATCTAAAGAAAAATCAGTATACCGGTAACAAGTTACAAAGAAAAACTAGATGGCTAAACAACATTATTTTACCTTGCCTTTTTCTACGATGAGATTGAACAATTCACCCCTAGCATATTCCATCACCATAATAATGTCAGTTGGCATAGTGATTACTTCGTATCTAATTAGCAAAAATAAGATGGACCGATCATGAATATTGGGTAAATGAAGTGAATGCAAATGATACTTACAATTTGATTATATGCGGGTGACGGAGGAGCTTTAAATATTGAATTTCGCGTTTCACTCTTCCAAGCATATCCAGATTAGCTATTTTTCTTCTGTTGATGAATTTCATGGCTACTTTATGGCCTGTTACAGTGTGTACAGCCACTGCAGAATAAGTAAAAATGAAATGAGAACTTTCCCTAATAATAAACAAAGTAATCCTTGAAATTTGACAAATTGTTACATTTAACTTTGCCAAAAGAGCCAACACCGAGGGTCTGTAAAACATTGTATTGTCCGATCTTTATTTTGTTGGAAGCCATGCGATTTCCTTTCAAAATGTTAGAAGTGTGCTAAAAAAAAAATTATTATTGAGACATTTTCTACTTGATGTTTTTTAATAGTAAAACGGTTTTGTGTAACATACATGACATGATTTTAATCGGCTGGCTGGCTAATAGTAAGTGCTTTCGGAATATTTCGGAAAGTTTTCTATTTGTTTCGGAATTTACCGGCATCTTACTATAAATCATAATTGTATTGGCTGTTTAAATCACTATTATCTGTCAAGGCTAGCCTCTTTGGCTTACCACTTTTATTAAATATACAAGAGATTACTGGTACTTCAAACATAGTATATTCTAATAAAAATACATATACTGTAGACACATATACAACTTTAGTTACTGCTTATTTAAAAGCTTTGCTATATTATTATAGTTATTTTTTATATGTTATTTGCTTGTAGATAAGTACTTGTGGTTTTTGATTTTTGTTACTATTATCTACTTTGTGTTTTTGTAGTATTTATCTAAATTCTAATACTTTTTATCAAAATTATTTAATACTTTCCACTTTTAATACTCTTTAACTAGTCTTTTTAAATTTTTAATTTAAATAGCTCAATATAGTATCTGTTTTGTAGTTTTTTTTTATTAATACTTTGGTAGTCTAGTTAATAAAATATCTTTTCAAATACTTGATTTATTTAGTTTACTAATTTCAAGTATAGCTATATAGAGATCTAATAACAATATTTTGTTAAATAATTGCTAGATTAATTATTTAATATTATTTATAGCCAGTATAGCTATTCTGGTAGTTTTATTGAAACTTGATTTCTTAATATTATATAATTATAGAACTTATTTCAGTTTTGTATTGCTTAAAGCTAGCTTGCATATCTTTATAATTTATATTATGTAAATACTATATAATTTTTTTTTTTTTTTGATTTTAAGGTGAGGCCTTGCTCGTATCTTTATTAGTAATTTTGAAATAGTTACAATATAGATTGCTATAATACAATTATGAAAGTAGCTGCCAAAATAAAAATTTACAAAGCTACTACTATTTGTACCAATACAAATAAAAATAAAAATTACATACAAGAATAAGAGCTCAGACAGGTAAAAATTTATCTGTGACCTAAACCTGCTAGAGTGATCAAAGACTCACCTAGATTACTATAGTTAAGATATGATTTAAAAAGATATTATACTTGGCCCAAAAACAGAACCAAGTATTAATTTTCTTTCTGGCCTGGTTTACCAGTAGGCAGATTCTAGTGTATAAATGTAATTGGTCTGGTTCTTTATATAAACAGGAATATGTATATATTTTGTATATACAATTAATATTTTTAGCTTGCTAATTAGAATTAGAGTTATCAAGTAAACTTGAATTGTCAGGTTGTTATGTAGAATTGGAGTTGCTACCATATAGGTAGTTTAGATGCTTTTGTTTTTTCCAGTTAGCGAAATTTGTACAGTAGAGTTTCCAAGCTTGTTTGTATAATTGGTCATTGATTTTGAGTAATAGGTTAATTATAATATTGGCTGCTATTTTGTAAAGGATATTATAATTTTGAATAGTTTGAATTAATAATCAGAGGATTAGACTTTTGAGAGTTGGCTCTATATAGTAAAAATAGGGCTAGAGAGCTATATTATAGAAAGCTTCATGTCTATAGATTTTTTGGATTAGGTTTTCCAATTCTTTATTAGTTATATCAAGTTCAGTTGAGTGAAAATAGTTTGAGATTGTAGATAAAAGTAGTTGGTGTATTATAGTAGGATTAACACAAGTACGCCAGTATAATGGTGAGTCAGGTAAACTACAGTAAAAGCATTTGTTACTGTGAAAGGTTTTAGGATATATAGTATAATAAAATGATTATGTAAAGAGTTCATTGAGTAGTATTTTAATTATAAAGAACTTAAGTTGGTTAAGTTGGAAATTTGTAAGATTATATAAAGGTTTTTGGTTATAATTAAAGTAAAGCTATGTAGATTTTCAGTCTATTTGCCAATTTAGAGAGGACCATTCGTTATTTCATTTTGAGATAACCACATTGCTAAAATATAGACTTTGCAAATTGTCTTTACAAAATATCTAGTAGGAAAATCAACTAGATATTGTTCTTCTTCCTATTGTAAAAAATGAAATGAGTTATAAATATTAGTGTAGTTGAGCTCTAGTGATGTTTCAGATATATATTGTTTAGCCAATGAATTAGCTAGATTGTTAAGTGTATTGTCAGTATAGGCTTAGACTTTATGAAAGATAAGGCATATATTATACGATTTAATAAGATTAAGAAGTGTATGCCACAAGGGCCATGTATTGAATTTTAGAATTTTGTTAGGGTTAATAGTTGTTGAGTTAAGCTTAATAAATTTGAAGATAATTGATTGTGAATCTGT